ACATAGTTTAATCAATTGTTTGTTTTAATAGATACAAAATTTAAAATAAATATAATGTCATAACTAACATATCATTAAAAAAATGTATTATTAAAAAGTTGTATATTAAAAATTTTAAATCTAAACCATTCATATTAAATTTTGGATGGTTTAGATTGCATTATAATAATGATCACATGGTGCTCATCGTTGTGATGAGCAATGTGAAGAATCGAGATATCATCTCCCATTTTGAATAAAATTACAATTAACCGGGAAGTTAAGGTAACTTCTATCACCTTTTACCCGCTTTATCCACTTCCTCATTTTTTTTAATTTTTATTTTTCATTTTTTTGTTAAAGCCATGATTCCTATAAAAAAGTTAGGATTTTTTCAAAACTTTTTAAATTTGAATTTTAAATCATATCATATCATATCATATATCATATATGAGAAGTTAAGAAGAAGAGAATTTGTTGGATAGTTCAAATAGCCTTATATTAAGCCGTTTCTTCTCAATAATTTTTATGAGATACTCAAACTTCAGAGTCTTGTGAACCTAAGCCTACAAGTTTCATTATGGTTCTGTCTGCTCTGCTCTCTATCTCATCATCTCATTGTTTTTGTTGTTCTTATTTGGATACGTTTCTTCTCTATAGTACTCATGAGTAGATCATCATCTCCACGATTTCTTGAATTTGGATGGCATAGAAAGGAGAGAGTTTTATTTCCATGATTTCTTTTTCTTTTTCTTCCTTCATCTTCTTGTAGGATTCATTTGTTGGTGACAGTAGAGGTTAGCCATCTGTTCAAAGTGATACTGAAATGGGAGCGAACACAAGGTCTAAGGAATAACGTTAACTGTAATATGGGAATGGTTGCTTTTAATAAGCACGTAGGTGCAAAAATTTTCGTGTTATTTAGGCTTTTGCTTACTTAAAATGTTAATAGAGCAGATAAGAATATTGCACGGGCACCTACAATAAGATAAAACAGGCTTTTTATGGCAATTAACATGAGCTTTTCACAACGTTTTTGAGTGGGATGTCTATGTCATTGACATAAAAAAATAGAGGACTTTATTTTTATTGCATCTTAGTGATATGTAATCATATTTTTATTTAAAAAATTGAAGTATATAATATTGAGTTCAAGCGAAAAATAAAATATATAAGATTGTGCGCTTAAGACATTGTAACATTATTTTCATTTTTAATAGAATTTAAAAAGACTTGTTACAGTGTTGCTTCTTCAAATTTTTAATACTTAAGGTTCATTATTATATTTACAACTAAAATATTTAATATTTATTTTACATTTTAGATTCAGAATAAAAATCTTGAATAAATATTTTAAATTTTAAATTAAAAAACCTAAAAATCAAATAACTATATTTTATGATCTCATTTTTATTTTAAACATATATGTGGGATCTTATATTTAGAACTGGAAGCAATAACTAAGAAAGAATCAACACATGTCCCATCCAACAATGATCTATAATTTACATTGTTGATGGTAGTTATCAAATTAAATTATACGGGTGTATTTTAAATCTCAAATTGGAAAAAAAAATTTAAATAACTATTTATATACATAAAAGTGGATACTTGGTCTTCCACCAAAGTTAAGTGCTTCAGTCATATTTATACATAACAATATTATAAGTGAAGTTAATTTGTCTATGTAATGACATATGGTTAATTGTGATTATATTAACAAAACATGCAAGAAAAGTATATAAAATAAAAGAGCAAGACGCCCTAAACATCTTGAAAATAATAATCTTAGATGATAGAAACACTACAAAAAAAAACTTTCAGTATTACTTACAAAGAAACTTTTTATAATCTTATATTTTGAGCATATATATGAATTTTTTTGGTGATAGAAGCATATATATGAATTTAACTAATTTAACTAATCACTACATAGTAATTGAACTTTTTATAATATATGAAGAAATACTAATTCAAACCCATGCATTGCACGGATATTGTACTAGTTTTGAATAAAGGTTAATGAAAAGGGAGTGTGTGGTTATCTACTTGTTATACAAGTTTTTTTTTAAATTATTTTCTTTTTCGGGTCTCATGACGGGTTATTCAAGTATGGAAGCAAAATTTTAATTTATTTATATGTTGTTTAATAGGGTCATTTTAAATATCATAAGCATTAAAATATTTTGTATGATGAAATATAAATATTTTTATATTTTTTAATTAATTTCGGTCTGACCCTAAATCAACTCTAGTTTGTATCTTGCTTTATCATTTATCAAATTACCAAGACTTAATTTGTCGTTGAGGAAAATGACAATTCAGTTATAAGATGTTATTTCTTGAAAAGTACTAAATTTTCATTTCCCCCACATTTTATGAAAAATTGAAATATGAAATTTTAATTTAATTAGAGTGGGTCTTATCAAATTTTAAGTTTTATGGTCCACAATTTGTAAATACCAAGTATGGTTTCTTGCCAATTACATAGATTTTAGATAAACGGCTTTCGGTGGAGAGGAATTGATATATCTATATCTAAGTGTCTATTTGGATTAATAAATTTATAAATCAATTTTAACAAATTTATTTTTCATGCTGCTAATCTAAACACACTATGAAAAATGTAAATGACCTTGTATATTGTGTGAAGACGGAATAATGATACAAAAGTACCCCTAAAATATGTGAATCCCAAATTGATCCATTAATATGCCTTCTTCCTACTGCAGTCCCTAGAGACTTTTTTGGAAATTTTTTTATTAAATACTCTTTATGTTGCAATGTATTTTAAAACCAGATTGGACCAGCCGGTTTAGGCTAAAAATTGGCAAACTGGCCACTTATCCAGTCCGGTTCATCCTGCAAACCAGAAAAATTTCAAACTGGTATAACTCGGCTTGACTTGAAATAATTTGGGATCAACTCAGGTAACTTATTGGGTTAGGCGAGTCACCGGTTTATTTTTCAAACTTGCGGTACGTTGGGAAAACAATAATCCAAACACCGACTCTACTCACCGTTTGTCTGGGTTTCTCTTCTGCGTTGAACTTCTCTTCCCCTTCCCACTCATTAGATCATCGTGGTTGACGCTTCAATGAGAGCCGACCAGATCTATAGCAGGAGAAGCCATGGACAGTGCTTTGAAACTCCATAACTCAACCCGTGCAACTCGTGTAATGGTAGAAGGCAAGAAGAAAGGAGAAGGTTTGGAAATATAAACTAACAACCAAAGGAAAACTCTGAGCCGTATTGAAAAAAGTGAAAAATAAAAACTGGTGACAACTAACAAGTCATAATGTGTATCACACGTGGGTGAGATAAAGAGCATCAAAAGATGGGAAAAAAATAAAATAAAATAAAATGAGGAAGAATTTAGGGGTCCCATGGTGAAGGAAAATGACTAAAGAAATAAGGAAAGAAATATAATGAGGGATGTATTTTTTTTAATTTATAGACACTTCATTTAAGAATTAAATATGATTTCTTATAAGTAAAATATAAATATTCTTAGACATTTTAATTAATTTATGTTATTTTATTTATTTCCGATTTGATTCCTGTTTGAGTCATTGACCCTGACCCACCGCTTCAACCAGTTTAATAACCGGTCCAGTTTTTAGTACTTTGCTATATTGCCACTCGATGAAGCTCTAGCTAACGCCATTAACCAGAGCTTTGGTGGTTGGTGGTCGAAGCTCTAGCACTGGTCATCAAAGTTTTCATGATTTAAGGATTGTTTCACTTTAAGAAATAATTTTAAATATATGAAATGCCAACAAAACCTTAAGCAGTAACAACTAATATTTTGAGAAGTAGGGTCTAGTTTTAAGTCCACAAATTTTTAACTAAAACTTAACTTTTCAGAGCAGTAATTGTCACTGTTTATGTCTTGTTTTTACCATTTCATATAATTAAAGTTGTTATTTCTTAAAGTGGAGTAGTTGTTGATATTAAAATCACCTTCTTCTCGATAATTTCCTAATAGCTAGCTCTGGTGGCGAAAATTCTGGTCACTAGCCACTTGAGCGGCAACTTGCATTCGGAACCCTAACAAGTAACAATAGAAAAATTTTATACACACGCACACAAAGGCAATATTGTCATTTAACAGAAAAATTTTATTTCGAGCAAGGCTCTAGGAATTATAGAGTAAATAAGACATTTGGAGAAGTTGATGTGAGATTGAGATTCACACATTTCAGAGGCACAAAACAAGCGTCTGGTGCTTAGAAAAGAAAGAAAGCATGGGAAAGAAGATGGTGTTGTTTCCCTATTGTTTATCTTCTGCAAAACATTCAAATAGAAATATTCTTTTTCATTTGTTTAATCCTTTCATGAGTAAATTTAAATCACATTATTTTATCTAATTCCAATTTTGTTCTACATTTTCATTCTTTGCAAATTTTTTTCTGCCATACCAAACACTAACAACACTAATGACAGCATATGTTATATCGTATCAAACAGGATGTTTAATTAGACCCTGAATAAAAGAGGGGTTTAGTGTCTGGATTAATCTTTGTCATCCTCTTCTTTTGGATTGGGAGCAATGTAATAACTACGACAACCTTTCGTAAGTGTTTTCCTAAGCACAATTAAAAAAGCCAACTGTTATTGACAAGCTACATCCCCCCGGGAGAAAAGAAAATTGATTGAAAATAAATTTATTCCTTTAGTAATGGAAAAAAAATCTGGGCTTTCATGATTTCGTTTAATTTGAGTATTTGATTTTTATAATTTTAACTTTTATGTTTGTTATATATTTGCCGATATTTTATCATCCGCGTGCCTTAATTTATTTTATATCCATACTTTCATCAATTTTGCTTATAGATCACAGATCAAATTTTTTCTAAAATTGATACCCTAATTTTAAAAAAAAATTTAGGAGCATTGAACAACATGCCTATTCTCATTTTCCCATTAACTTGCTCTGATGCCTAAAACATTCAAAAAGGCACTTCAGCTCGCTCATAATACAAAAATCCAGTTCGCGAATATGTTTCAAAGATATTTCATTCTCAAAACAACAAAATGTACCTTCCCTTATATTTCATTCTCAAAAAACAAACGAATACAACGTCAAAAGAGGACCACCAACAAAACGAAAAGGAAAAAAACCAGCAAGACACATTATGGCCAGAAATATTTCAAAGATAAAGCATGACCAAAATTACATTCTTCTAACTGTTAAAAAAAAGAAAAAAGGAGCTACCTTTACCACCCTTTGAACGGGACTATGTACTCTGTGATAGATATCAAGTGAAAAAGGGGTCGCCAAAACGGGGGGGGTAAAGGAATAAAAAGAAAAGAAAAGAGACTTTAAGTTGGTTCACAGTATACCTCATCATCTATTCTTCCCCGACTTGCAAACAATCGGATGCAGAGTAAGCAAAAACCTAGCATCTTGTTTGCAATTTAAGCCTCTTACGCCAATTTTCTTCAGATATTTCTTATTGTAGATAGTTAGTTGTTTCAAGATGACTGGTCATGCTCAGTTCTGTTTCATCAACTAGTATTTCTTCACGTTTGGGATGACAATTCAGATCTATTTGTCCAGTACTGGGTTCACTGACATCAGTTTGACCTGTGACTAGGTCACCCCCTTTTTCTAAACAAATTGTATCGTCCCTTGAAGCCCCATTCATTTCAGATGCATCCCTCTGGTGGCCTGCTTCCTTCTCAGTGGCATCTGCTTCACGTTCTGATTGCCGTTTCTTTTTACGCATCATGAGGGTTTTGAAACGGCGTTTCACGGTCATGCACACATTGCAAATACATGTCGGCTTGTGTCTCCCCTTCCCACTTGGTGGCTGGATGCACACTATGCAGGTGCATCCTGGACGGTGTCGAGGATGTTTGGTGGTGATTCCTGCAGATGACTCAGCAGGGGAAAGAAAATTGTCTCCTAAAACTGCCACACTGGCAAGAGCATCTAAGCCGGAAGTTTCATGCTCTTGGGGTGACTTCCTGTCTTCTTCAATTCTTCTCTTCTTAGAACCTGGAAGATCCGGGGCATCCAGAAAGATTAGGAAATTGTTATGTTGAGGGTCATGGATGTAGTTAATTGGTTGAGCATAATTACCTAAAACAGAGACAGACACAAAATAACCGCATAAAGAGCTCATTTTTAAAAGTAGAACCAGATTTTTAAGCTTGATGAAAAAAAAAAGAGCTCGTTTTTAAAAGTAGAACCAGATTTTTAAGCTTGATGAAAGAAAAATGATTGCATTTGCATACAACGCTCCATAGGCACAATAATACACATGGATGCTATACGATATCAATGCAAACCACACATGTAACAGTATGCTTTCAACATCAATGCTCAGACAGACAGAGAATTTGGCAAGCACTATGTTAATGCATATTGATGGGAAATTTATTTCAAAATAGGTTTTATTTTATTTTATTTTATTTAGGCTGAAGTTATTACTATTTCTGTTATTTAATTAATTATCATGTTTCGAGCTCTATAAATAGCATTGTAGGCCCTAGTGATGAATTGTTATTGACTACTATTTTGCCATCACACACCCTCCCATTCCCTTTCCATTTATCTCTTGTTCTCCTCCTTCTCCTCTCTACCTTGTTCTACAAGTGGTACTAGTGTTCGTTGCACATTTTTACTGAAGGAAGCTCATTAGAATCTTGCCGGAAAAATAAAATTACCTTTATACATGCCAGATTCTATATTTCCAGCCATTGGATTAATTAACAGACCAAGCCATCAGGTCTACCATCTTAAATGTGGCCCATCCACTGAAGCCCAAAGATTGGTCCACAGCTCATCCAATGTACAGCTCAGTCTATGATAATTGTACTCGAGCATTTTGATGAGATGATCAAAAGACCTCAGGCCACTCAAATCATTTTCTTTTTATTCAAATGAAATCATTGTTTAATGGTGGCTTGCATCTTCCATGTAGGACTTAAGCATCAGTCTCACATTGGCTATCATTAGACATGACTTGCGATTCATGTAGGAGGAGATTGAAGCTGAGTAGTCTCTGCAAAGCAGTTAGTTAAAAACCCGTACTCAATATTTGTGCTTGAACTAGCCACGACCCTTTGCTTCTCTGGGGGCCATGAGATCAGGTTGCAGTCAAGGTGCATTCCGTAGCCACTGACTGAGCATCTGTCATCTCTGTCAGCAGTCCGTAGTTAAAAACCTGTACTCAATATATCAGAGATCGTTTGAAATAAGGTTGACCCACTATATTCAAAGCCTATGGTTACAACTATGTCTGCCTCGTCTGCCTCAACCAGGTTAGTTAAAATGTATCATGATATGGTGGAAAAAACTAAATTCTACAGGTCCTTGGTGGGTTCACTGCAATTTGTGACTGTAAGTACCTCAAATCTCATTCTCTATCAGCAAGGTGTGCGGATTTATGCATGGTCTTCAGAAAATGTATATGGGAGCTATGCAGAAACTAACTGTCTAACATTAGAAGGACATTGTGATGTTGACTGGACTGCTGACACAGATGACAGATACTCACTCAGTGGCTACAGAATGCATCTTGACTGCAACCTGATCTCATGGCCCCCAAAGAAGCAAAGGGTCGTGGCTAGTTCAAGCACAAATATTGAGTACAGGTTTTTAACTAGCTGCTTTGCAGAGACTGCTCAGCTTCAATCTCCTCCTACATGAATCGAAAGTGATGTCTAATGATAACCAGTGGTGCACTAGGACAATCTGTGTGCAGTGGCTCTCCCAGCCAACCCAGCTTTTCATTCATGCACCAAACACGTAGAGCTTGACCTCATTTCTTCCCCCAAAAGGTGATTGGGAATCAGATTGAAGTCAAATACATTTCTTCTCAAGATCAGGTTGCAGATGTGTTCATTAGTCTACCAAAAATGCAACTCTCAGCTATTTTAGAGACAAGCTACAATTTATCTTTTGTGAAGGAGGTATGAGCAGGGGTGGAACTGAGAGTCTATAGTATGTAGTAAAGGGCGTTTAAATGGAGGGAGCATGTCATGACAGTTGGATTAGCTAGTTAGTTATGTGTATCAGTTAGTCTATCCTGCTCATGATGCCAATATTATTTTATAGCATGTACTGCACACCAGATGTTATTCAATAATATTACCTCCAGTCCTTATTATAAACTTCAAATAACTAATTCATGAATGATGAAAAATTAGTTAAAAACAATAAAAAGGTTAGAAATATATCTTTGCTTCCAAAAATGCCTTTATAATAAATGAGAAAGAAGATGAACGAAAATGTGTGAAAAAATGTGATAAGAGAGATTATAACAGAGGAAAAAGAATAAATAATTAAGGGCAGAGTTGAAAAAATTACATTAAATGTTAAGACAAACTCAAATTGAAGCTTATAAAATGGACCACACCTCTTTCCAAATTTGAAACTTATAAATAGATTTGGAGGAAGTACATTCAGCTCATTCATTTGTTCATTTTTTCATTCATGGAACCTCAAACAGTAAAAGTGAGGCTCTCTACTCCATGGCCCAACAAACTAGATTCCAAAATTCCATGTTTTTCCAAAAAATTTCATCCTTTTCACATGCTTTCTCCCATTTCTGTTCCCTGAGGGGACAATAAACCATCTTTTGGGAGTACTGTAAGGTTAAGCCTATTCATTTTGGCTTCCTAATTGTTTGACAGGTTTTGGTCCATAAACTAAAGGGGTTCCTATAGAGGAAAATGTCTGCATCCATAATCAACTTAGGATTCTTCTCGTGAATCCTGTGAGGAATCATCAATCTTGAACTGCCAAGGCATTTCCTCTTTGGTCCTTGGATCAACAACCTGAGTTTGCCTGTAATTATTCAATCACTAAGTCCGATAAGTATGCTAAGATTATGGGCAAACTGTCAATGATAAAGGAACAATATAAATTGTCTTCTTATGGTCATTGTCACATTCCTCCAAAAGCTTACATACTCCAACCTCTGCCCTTTTTTTGTCCCCGAAAATTTTAGGGCTAACAAATACTTATTGGAATTACCTCTTGATATAGCCATTACTCCAATTTTCAATATAGAGAATCTATTCCTTTATGGAGGAACTTTGGAGCCTCTCCCATTACTCTCTGATGGTTCTGCAGGTAGTCAACTTCATCATGCTCTTGTTTAAACTCCTCTAGATGTTTGGCCACATTATGCTTAGGAATGATTATATTGTTCTCCTTCATCTTGGCCTCCTCTACCATTATCTTCTTAAATTGAAAATTTTGCCCAGATTCAAATGTTATTGGGATCACTGAAGAGGAGTTTCTCTTCTAAGACCTTGCCTCGTTAGAGTCCTAAAAGCAGTTTTTCCAGAAAAAGAGTTCTTTCAATTAGAGAGTTAGTAAAGTTAGTTAGGTTTGTTCTATGTTTTAAATTTTTAATAACATGTCTATAATTTCTTAAGTTAGTTTTTGTTCACATTATTACTTTAATTATTGAATTTAGTGCTCTATATACAGCCCTAGGTCATTCCCATTATAGACCTCATTGTCGTTAATACTATCTTACCATCACACATCCTCCATTCTCTCTTCCTCCCTTTCCTCTTTCTTCTTCCCTCTTCCCTTTTTCTCCATCAGAGAACTTCATATGGAGCATACAAATATAGCTATGTATGGGAAAATCTTGCAAGATGCAAAGATGTATGATTGGCATTCAATCTATAACATCTCGAATTTTGGGCCTAAAAATGCAAAAATTAGCTTGAAATGAGCAGGCTATCATACTCCTTTTCATAGGAGTTCTAGAAGTTCCTTAGAAGGCCGAGAAGATTTTCAAAGATCAAACCGTAAAGTAAGCATTTTCTAGAACCACGAAATAGGCAAATTAAAAATTCTGATGAAGTCTCGAGTACTTGAGTATGAGAATTAGAGATGATTAAGAGCTAAAGGTTGTGCTGGGAACCTCAGTGTGATGATTTCCAAGACTAAACCTGTGCAGGGACCTAATCATAAATTCAGAAAGTTTGCCGGAAAATTCTTAAAAAATAAATGAGGTTTTGAGGCCCGTATGGGATTAAAAATGACCAAGAAAACCCTGAAACAAATTGATACAATTCTCAGAGTATTGGCTAATTACAAATATTAGCCAAAATTAAATTATTTAAAATACGAGGAGACTTCAAATAATTAGAGAAAAAATGAAACATAATACTTGAGAAATTATCATAGGTTTTAAAAATGATTTTGTCCTCAGAAAGCAAAGAGGTTAGCTTTAACAGAATTTAAAACCTATTTATGTACTATCTAGGAAAAGTCAAAATAAACTGTTTATAAGTTGACTTTTGGCCTGAGAAAAATTAGAGAAATTTCCCAAGATAAAAAGACAGTATTGGTACCCAGAAATAGATTGTTGGAGTCGTGAATCGATAGAGATTCGGCTAAGTTTACTCCGACATAAATATTATTAAATGTTTTAATAAAGGAACAAAGGGAAACGCATCACTCCCTCTTTATGCATGTTAAATAATGTTAAGTGAGGATATTTGTGATGAAAAAGAGGTACCAAGACATGTCTAGAGTTACCGGATAAGTCAAGACTCAAAAAGTATCTGATATGACATAGAATCATAAAATAGGTAAATGAATAGCCAAAGGTATAATTATGCACAAATTTTTCTTTATTGTTCTGCCTATTTTAATGCAAATTTGATGAGGGGACATAGATAGAATAATACAATTTTTTAAGGTTTAAGTTTGGAAGAATGGAATTATGTAATAAAATATTATGTCTTTACACATGTAATAGGTGGCACAGGAGGTGTCCTTTGAGGTGGCATAGGAACTGAATGAGAAAGACACCTAAGAGGGTTTAGGTGGCAAGAATCAAGAAAGAATGAGGTTTGATGCAAAACAAGTGTCCTAGGGTAAAAGCAAATGTTGAATTTGAAGGATTATCATAAGGTAAACTTAACTTGCATTATAAATACCCCTTCCCCTCCCATGTAGTCATGATTTTCAGCCAATGCAAGAGAAGAGGGAGGGAGGCCAAAAATATGAAGAGAGAAAGGAGAAAAAAGAGAGCAACGAAAGCCATGCAGCCTTAATAGTTGAAAGTTAAAGGAGCACGAGAAAGCAAAAAGAAAATTTAAAGAAACAAGGTAGCAAATTTAAAAGTATGTGTTAAGAGTTATGACTGCTTAAAACAAGTGGTAGATCACTTAAAATGGATGTATGTGTTAAGAGTTATGACTGCTTAAAGTTAAGACAGAGAAACTGGAAAGTACAGATTTTACCAAATGAACAGCAAACTTCCATGAATTTAACTGTACGAATTGAGAAGGGTTAAGTCTAGATTTATATTTTTTCCTGTAGAGAATTAAAAGAGTTTAAATAGAGACTTGAATCACCTCAATACGATTTTTTTATAATTACTTATAAATTTTTAAAATTGTACTGAAAATCTGGAATTTACTAATGAATAGTAACCCGGGAATTAAATTTTAAATTTTTAAGCTACGGGCTTATTTCATGATCCGTTTGAACTGTAACGCTAATAGAAGGATGTTTCACAATCACATGATGGGACACTAGGTAAACCTTAAGTAAAATAGACAGCAGGAACCTTTGCTAGTTCTCAGAAGATTTTCCAACTCCTTTGGACTGAGCTCCTCTGGTGCAGAACACAGAGACCTGTAAGGACATTGACCATGACAAGAATTTGCAAATGATATGATACTGTCCCATATCAAGAAAATTTTCAAGCAATGGAATTTAATGTTGCACCTGCTATCATCCCACTCATTTTCTGAGCATGTCCACTTAGGAGGAAGTAGAACATCTACTGGCAGCCTTCGCCATTTACAGCAGTCATCACATTGAGCCCATTGATCTTGTCTGCTGTATGAAAGATTAAAGAATATTCAAATAAAACTGGCATTTTCACATTTCTTATCTGTGTCAATCTGACAAGTCTGAATGCTTTATGATGCATCAATACTATCTAAAACCTAATTCTCATTTAAGTATAGTTCTCGCAAGACGGTTTCCAATTAAATATAAATAATAATAAAAAAGCATGATAAAAAATGAGAATATTATTCAATGGCCATGAAACAAAATATCTACATATCTGAGAAACATGGAAATTTCTTATTGCTTCTTTCACTATTGATATCAAGTACTTTTATGAACAAATGCTAAATTCAAGCGCACAGCTAAAATTATGGCCATGAACTCACTGAACTGACGCCATAGCGTGAGCAGTATTGCGTTGAGAAAAATATACTCTTGTGGCATTTCAACAAATTTGCAGGACAGTCCACATGACAAAAACCATTAAATACAACTCTAAATATGAATGTTCATACACACAACAGACGCATTGCATGTATTCTTACCCAGATGAATGTGTAGTGAAAAAAGTCCTCTTTCCAAAAACAGGGGGTTCCTAAATAGACATGAAGCATGGAGATCCTTGATTAGCCAGGTAAAAAAGAAACTAAACGCAATTTCCCAAACTATACCAGTCCATATTCAACTTGAAATGGAAAAACTAAATAATAAAATGATGCTTTTATTTAGCAGCTACAAACTTACATCATACTCTTCAAATACATGGTCCTCTATTGTAACAATGCTGGGCTTGACACTAGTGGTGGACGAAGTAAGTCCTGAGCTTCTTCCCAAGTAAGTCTCAACTCCAGGGCATCTTCACTATGAATGAGCAACCTCTTACTCTTAGACCCAATATTACGAGTCCTCTTCTTCTCTGAAACTGTAATTGGCTGCCGCAGGGAATCATTGTTTGTCATGCTCCCACAATTTTCAGACTTAGGCAAACCAGCATCCATTCTATTCAAATGCAGATGTTCTGAAAGTCCATTTGAGCAAGCTTCCCTGTTCCCCTTCATCGACAGGAGAAGAACAGGATAACCGTTTTCCAAGTGAAGTTTCTCAGTGACCCCAGAACACGAGGTATCCTTCATTGGAATGCCATTTGAAGGTGCAGATGGGGAGGCGTCCTGTTACAACGATTAGCATTTATCAGAATTACATATTACCCATAGAGGAGCTGCAGAAAGCAATGAAACATTATGCCCCAACCTGTGCATCTACAGAATTAGATGCCTTCCTAAAACCGAGAACAAGTTTACCTCCGGGATCTATCCGACTAAATATTACTGCAACAAAAAGATCAAATAAAGGAGCAGTAATACAGGTACAATACATTAACTTTTCCATTTATATCCGAGTTCAAAACTACATGGTACTTGTAAAACTAAATAGTATTGAACAATGAAAACTCCGTAAGCGATCAGGTTGGCATGGGATTGAAGTTTTTTATTTTTTTAGTAATTTCCTACAGAGATTACAATGCCAAATTGTACAAGAAGAAGCACAACCAACACAATATGTAGTATTATGTTTTCAAGAACTAAAGAAGACGAATAACTGAAATAATGACAAGCAAACAATGATATGCATGATCATCAAACAGTAGATAAAAAATAGTGACCATAAAATGCCATCAACCAATTTAAAGGTAATTTGTTATGCTGGCTGCAGATATTAAATTACAAAAGGATTGCAGCCATAAAAATGACTGTATTTGAGATAAACTTATCTTCATAAATCAGATTGCTGAAAAATTTTCAAGAAGTGTGAACTAGTAATGAAATAAGTGTGGCACCAATTTGCCCTTGGATTGATGCATACCAGTATCACCAGCACGTAATTGCATGGACTGTATGCAAGGAGTGACGCCCTCCAATACATACATCCTACTGTTGTTATTGGGCCAAAATCGAAACTGAAATGTCCACTCATTCCCCTTCACATCTTGGATATGCAAAGGAAGACCTTCTGATTGAGAAATGGGAGGAAAATAAGCCTGCAATTCTTATGCCAGTATATTAGATGAATTTTCAACTACAGAGAGATGTTTTGCCTTGAAAAGATGTCATAGGAACAGAGTCCCATTTATTCAAAGAGAAGCAAGCAAATAGAATAAAGTTTTCAACATACTTCAGCACATGCTTTTGGAAGAACAAGACGGCCAATTCGACCTGCATCACTGGCGCTCAACACCTTCTCAAATAGTGGCACTACAGTGGACTTCAAACTTTGAAATAACATATTAAGGAAACTGATTATTAAATCAATCATATATCAGATTTTTCAGCTCATGTGCAAAAGCCCAAAATGAAAATAAATTAAGGATACTCTCCAGACAATTGCTCCAACTCTTTATCAGTGATCCGGGGCCAATATCGAGGAAGCAACTGATTCTTGCATCTTGCCTCAGCAGGGGGCCGCGCTATTCGTGGCTGAGAAAGCATGCCTTTATTTGTCTCATGATTTATGGTTAGTCCACTCTTTGGTGGTTTGGGCAATATAGGCCGAGATCTTTGCCCTTGATGAAAAGGAGATGGCTTTTCCTCACCTCTTCCTTCTACAGTTTCTCCAGCAGCAGGCAAGATAGAGTTTCCTGATGGAGTTCCCAGAGACATACACAATGATGGCTGCACGGGTAATTCATGCATATTCTTTAGCTCCCATGCTGGTCTGCTATTTTCTAATTTAGCAAATGTTAATGACTGAACAGATGGATTCATCACGTTTGAAAATTCTAAATCCACTTCCCTTATTGGACATTTAACGTCCTGGCTGGTCTGCCCACTAGATAAAAGTATCCCATCTCTCTGAACTTGAGTCCAGCGGCTAGAATCACTAGCTTCAACAATTTTGCACAGCTGCATAAGTTTCCCTTCGCGACCACTATCCACAGAGATTCTACCATCAATATGACAAGAATGTCGGTCACTTGCAACATTTTTGGTTGATGTAATAGACCCATTAGAAATTTCACTATTTTGCATCTGCAGAAAAATAGTTTAATAATAGGAATCCGTGAACATTCTATGTCAGAAAGTCCAATAATACAATATACCTAAGAGATATCTCTTTCAAAGTACTAATGATCATATCTCATATAATGTCAAGTGCAAGGTGAAACGATCCCACTTAAATCCATACCAAGGAATTTTTCAAAGTACATTTGAATGCCAAAGAAAAACTTGCATAAAGAAATACAGATAAGCTGAGATTTCAGTGGGCTGTTCAGGCTCATCTAGTAAGTACAACTCAGTTGGGCTCACATGGCAAACATAACAGCTCGAGATTAGTTTGAAGCTTGTTTTTCAAACAAGCATAGCCACAGATATTCTCTGTTTGGTTTGCTGACAGATCAAGCCAAAAATAAAATGGTATCTCTTAATGTATATTGCAGATGTGAAAGGTTTTCAATAAATTCATAGTAACCTGGAGATAACAAGCTATGATAATTCATTTTAAAATTACTAACACTTGCCACCACCACTTCATTAAGTAACTATGATAAATGATGAAAAGTGAAATTGTAGAAGCAAATTTAGGAAATGAAGACTGAAAAGAAAATGTCAACAGAAACAGGCTACACATTACTAAGGTCGAGCTTTACACAAACCATCCACATTGAACTTACCAAATGCAGCTGGGGAGACTTTACACAGTTAATACAGCCTATACCACCAAAATCAAGGTACTCGAACAAAGATTTAGATGCTATGCATCCGCAGTGAATAGGCTGCCAAATCAATTCACAAATATTTTGATATCTAGGCAGTAAAAGAGAAGGCTTAAACAGAACTAAAAGGGGGGGGGGAGAAGAAAGAAGAAAGAAACTAAGCAAAAGAGAAGCAAAACACTTATCTGCTTACCGTTTTGCAGAAGTTGCACTTCCTCCAACCAGCTTCTTCAAGGTGGAACTTTTTACAGAAAACCAAATTTTCATAGGCAGATCTAACATACATAGTGAGACACACCAAAGATAACCCATGTAAGAAACATAATTAAAAAAAATTAATAACAACAAATTGAGAATGTCAGAAAGAAAGAAAGAAATAATGAATGAATGACAATAATTGTCATCATGTGGTCAGCTAAGTGAGTCTTTCATTTCATCACTCACTCTCAAAGTTGCCTATTAACAAAAATGGTGCACTGAGATTTCCTGACTTTATGCAGCCATGACACCAACCACTTAAATATTTCTATGCATAATGAAAAATTGAAAACACAGTAAAAAGTCTTAATTTTTATGACCAATCATGTCTTTATAGAATTACGAGAAAGGTAACATCTTAAACATTTTGGCATATAAGATTACCATTTTGTTACACTTACATAAAATCATGGACGAAAGCAATTGGAAATCTCTCTCTCTCTCCCTCTCTCTCTCTCTATATATATATCTCTTTGGTTTTCTGTTTTTTTGAACAAAAATATTATAAGGGCTTAATTTATTACCTGTCTGACTAGAAAGCCCTGCTCCTTCAGTCTAGGGGACCCAAATTAGATGCATGATCCACGTACGGATGCAAGTAAAATTTAACACGTTCTGTTTCTAAGCATTTTCACAATTCACAAGACCCTAAGGTATATAGACGGGTAAAACACTTATAAAGCAGTTTAGACTCCAAATTTCTTTTGAAACTTAGACTATCCCATGCTTCTTAGTGCGGGGACAAAGGGGCAACGAAGAATGAGAAGAAGAATATCGTTTTACCGACATTGGAGCAGCAGCTGGTTTAGCTACATCAGTGTGGACTATTATTGTTTTCGAATTGACCACATTGCGACCGATTTTCTTATATTGGGCAAACCGATATAAAACCAGAAAATCTCATAAAGGGAAAAAGGTTGGATCTTACTAATCTAATAGGAACCAAATAAGATGCATCAAGTAAGAATCCATGTCTATGAGAAGAAAGAGACACACGACCCCAAACAGACTGACACTGGCAGCATCGAATCAGGTTTGGAGATGAAAACAAATGAAATTGAAGAACACATGAACAGAATAAGGAACTAAAATACCCGCACTTATCACAGAGTTTGGCAAATCCACCAGATCGCAGCATCCACCCCTTCTTCCACTCGTGAGCAGTAACTTCTCCGCAGGAAGTATTCACGCAAATGTCGGACTCCATTATTACGGAATTAATTCCTTACCCCACTAAAACCTGTAAAATCAGAGAAATCAAGATTAAAACCCTAAAACCCTTTTTTACTATAACATTGAATTCAATTGGCAAATCCCATACACAACGAAGATTCACACACAAGTTTCAAGATTTGCAGAAATAACAACAAAACCAACCTGGTATCAAACAAGAAACCCAGAATCAACTAAAGGATTGCTCATCCACATAAGGAGAACACAGCAAAACTGCCCAACTTCCCTATACTTATCATCCACTCTAATCAATATAATCCTAACGCGTGAACATGGATTCAGGTATTTGAACAGCTGAAGAAGAATATAGTAAAGTCAACATCAGAGAAAACCCAAAGAATTTAACGGCAATCTGGGATTTTTGGTTGGTATCGGCTAGAGAGAGAAAGCGTTTGCGTCAATGGGTTTCTAGGGGGAAGAGAGAGAGAGAGATAGAGAGTGCATGCAAAGTAACAGATGCATAAAATGCATGCACGACACTTAGCTCAAGTCTTGAACAAGTCGTCCTCTTTTTTACTGGGTTTTACTATTCTTTCTTAAGAATGATGATACGGGGCTTCACTAGATTACAGTTACAATACAATACCAAAATGACCCGCAAGTTTCGTGGGTCCACGAATTGAATCCTAATGACTTAACGAGTAAAATAGGTCAGAAATTAAAAAATACTATTTGATTTTTAATTTGATTCTAAATATAAATCTCTAATTTATTTATTTTTTATATTTATTCATCTTTTTAAGATAATTCTTATAATAATTACACATATTAAATGTTTTATCAACATCTAACTAATATACTTTTCTGGTCTTTAATATAAAACATATTTAACTAATTTGATTAAATTAAAGAAGTTAGATAATTTATAAAAAAATATAACATGTTGTTTCTAAAACACCATAATTATCTTTCTCAATATCTTTTCTCCCTCTTCTAATTAATTATAATTGAGGGAATATCTATAAGGGTAATTTAAAGAAAATTGATAAATATGAAAAATAGCTATTATATTTAAGACCAAAATTAACTCAATAATTAGGTCTTATATTAAAGACAGGAGGAGTATATGATTAGTAAGAGTATTTCAGAAAATACAATACATATTCTTTATAAATAACTAGTTTAACTAATTTTTTTAATCTACTCAAATTAATCAGTTAATTTTTATATTAAAGCTAAGTAATATCAAATAATAATAAGCGTTGTTTTTAGGTGTGCGGTGTTTTTCTCGCCCAACGTAGCATTGAATATACGGAAAACACGTGTTCATGGCCGCACATGAAGGTGGGATTTAAAAATGGAATCATCACCAAGGTTGTGATCATAATTGATAAACAAAAGATGATGATAATAATAATAATAATAAGGAACAGACCTATCAAGTGATGGCGGGCAATACAAGAAGGTAATCTAAATAAGGAACAGACATAATAATAATAATAAGGAACTACGAGAATCTAATTAAAAATCAAATAAAACTATAAATAATCTGTATTTTCTTTTTATATATACGTATGTTTATTTATGTACGATTTAGTACCACCAACTAAGTCCAATAGTAGTATTAGAAGATTGTTGGCCATATTTTACCAAAAGAAAAGGATTGCTGGGGATAATTGAAAATAACTCACATTCTTTCCGTATATAAAGTTTAAATTTTTGACCTTATTCAAAGCAAATTGATATTGTTGGTATGTTTCAATTTTAGGTTACCAAAAGAAAAGGATTGCTGGGTATATGTTTTTCTAGCGTATTATATGCATCTTTTTTATAATTTTAAAAGAGCTTTGATGGAAAGGCATTAGTCGTGAAACCCAATATGAATCTGAACTCGGCCATGTCTCATCTGTCCTGTTTGCTTATTGTTTTCTTCGCATTCACACCTAACGCCGTTGGACCTCATTCTCTCACTTTAGCCATTCGCCAAACTCATTTAACCCACCCCATTCATTTGAGATGGTCCTTTTTGCAAAATTTACACACACAAACTCAGATATAAAAGGTGATGGTCTTCCACTGGTTATTTTAGTAAAACCTTTTTCACTAATGTTGAATATTCAAGGAAAAATAACCATAACATCTCAAGAAAAGAAAATAGTTACAAAAATCTTGAAGACAAATTAGTAACTATTGTTTCCTATACTGAAAGTTGTCTATACGTGATGGACTTTATAATAATCATATTTTTTTCTCAGGACTTTATAGCAATTCTTACTATATTAAATATATTTTGCAACAAAATATAATGTGCTTGACTATACTGCTCTTATCTCATTATTTGTTTTATTTTATTTTTTTGGACATATGCTTTCTCCACATATTCAATTATTTTGATATTATTATAAAATCAAAAATCCTTATTATAAATTATAAAATTTGTAACAAATTATTAGGGTTAATATAATTTTTAGTCTTTTAAATTTGGGTCTGTTTTGGTGTTGGTTCTTGAAATTTCAAACCCATAATTTTAGTCTCTAAAATTTTGTCCATTTTAAAATGTTAGCCCTTGATACTAAAACACCGTTAAGTTTTGCTAAGATGAAACTAACGGTATTAGTTTAGATGATGTGGCTTATGACTTAACAATATAAGCTGACTATGTGGCATGATGATTCTAAAGTTGACCTGTACATTTAATTAAGGGGGAAAAAAAGGCAAATCTGGCATCCTTGGGACTGAAAACACACTACTATAAAAAAAAAAAAACATTTAACGGCAGTTAAAATGAGCTTTTTATGGCGGTTTTGAAAGCGACGTCTATGCCATCGCGTAAAATATAGAGAATTTCACGACAGTTTAAGAACCGCCGTGAAAATTTTTTCTTCTTCTTATTCTATGTTTCACCCTATTGATCAGGATGGAATGGGAGAATAAAGCCTCAAAGGAAGGGGTGTGAAAAATCAATTAACCAATAATTTCTCATCAGTTAAAAGCATTCTGATGGAGCAAACATAAATTCTTTCCCATCGTAATAGCGTCACATAGCTTCACCTTCAACCACCATATTAAAACCACTAAGATTTAATAAAGATTAAATCAAAGACTCAGATCTGATAAAAATAAGATCTCTTTAAACTCAGATTAAACATCATATTTTTAACCAAAAAAATAATCATATCAAACCATGAAAACTATGAAATCCACAAAAAAAATGGAGGTGGAAAACTTACAAATAAGAATAAAGAGGATGAGGTGATAGCGACGGCAACAACAACAATGACGGTGATGGAAGAACATGGCGGAGATAATAAAAGCAAAGGATAAACGCCGACAAAGGTAGGAGGAGGGAGAAAATCAAGTGAGAACGGTAATAGGGGATTATGAGCTCTGACTCTGAAAAGTGAAAACTATCACGCGATGGATTTTAAAATTCTAATAGACTTTTTACTACGGTTATTTAAAAAACTATTGTTAAAAGTATTTTTTAGGGTGGTTTTCTTAAAAACCACTGTTAAAAGAACTTCTTAAGGCGGTTTTCTTAAAAATGGCCGTTAAAAGAACTTTTTACGGCGGTTTTTTAAATAACCGCTTTTAAAAGTATGCCTATAATTACACAAATGCCACCGTCATATTTTTTACAGTGTTTTTTCTAATAACCACCGTAAATTAGTGTTATAAAAACTCTTTTATGTAGTAGTGACAATGCTAAAAAACAGACAAAAAGAAAGGGGTCAAGTCTAGAAGTGGCTGGCGAAGAGTAGTTGTGGCCGTTGCAAAAGCAGTAGGCTTATCGATGGCTGTCAAGCGAAGAACTTGTACAAGGTGAGGAAGTAATTTTCATCGTCTGCTTTCATGAGTTGGCCGCCATTGTAGACGACTAGAAGAACTCAAAGATGTTCCGTTTCTTTGGTCCCTTGCAGACGATTCAAAGGCATTTCTTCCATAATTGAAATTTGTGTGAGGGTCATAAAGGGGAAGGCTTTGTGATGGGATATGAAAAGAAATAATTATGATTTTATTATAGTTCTAGAATATTTAAATTATCTGGATTTAATATCATTTGAGCATTTATTTAGATTTATTTGTATTTTAATATTAGGATTAATTGCTATTATTTTTATTTTTATTATTGTTTTAGTATAATTAGATCAAACGTTTTCATTTTATGGCAGACTTAATTATTAAATGATATTACAGTTATCCTTTTCTTTCGACTTGTTTCCTCTTGTTCGTTCTCTAGTTGCCCTTCTCCACTCTTTCTGATCTCTTTCCTTCATCTTCCCTCTGTCCATTTTACATTAATTTGGCAACAAAGCCTAGTTCTCATCTTTTTCCCCGTGGCTAAACTCTTTTCTTTTGAAAGCTAAACGCAGCCTACCCTCTAACCATCCATAATTGCCATGTCAACTCCTTTGTTCATTTTTCGTTCTACCATATTTTGGCGTCCCATCACTGTACCTCCACCACCATCCTCCTCATCGACGCAAACACATTTGAATCCCACGAATTCACCACTAAAGATGACCAAATTTCGTAGATGTTGACTTTTCCATCATAACCGTCAGCGAACAGTCTCAGATCCTAAATTTTTCAACGTCAACTTATGACATCACCAGCACTGTTGGAATTGCACTCACGAACATGGTATGAACCCGAAGTTTCACAGCAAAAAGAGCCTCCATGTGCGTCCTTGTGCCTCCTTAATGTCTGTTGTAAAGCTGGGAAAATGGCCAACCCGACCTTATAGGGTTAAAATTTGAAAAATACCTCAATTTGCTAGATCAAGTCTTTAAGCAGATGGGCTCGGACTTTTGGCCCATTTAAAAAAAATCCATTTTTCATATGTTTTGTCAAAAAATGAAAATAAACCAATAAAATTATTAGTAAAAGACATAAATATGAATTAAATTAAGTCACAAATACAAAAGATCAACATATCTAAATGTCTATCAACATAAAAAAAAAAATCTAAAACATCCATTATACATAACAAGTCAATAACGTTAACATCCAAAAGTTTCATTAAAATAGACAAACATTTTCACTAAAAAAAAAAAGTGGACAAACACTATCATTATTATCATCAATTGTAAAAATATTTGATTGTGCTTCACTAGTAATAGACTCTTCTTAACTTCTAAAAATATCAATGATTTCTTCTTAATGCTATTTAGTGATGCTGGAGTTTAATATGTCTTCTTTTGTCATGAATTGAATCTTTCGCCCACCAGTAAGTTTATTTAAAAGTATCAATGTTAAGTTTGTTTTAAAGGTTTCAACTTAGCAATCACTGGGGATTGATTCTATGTTGTCTACTTACTATCTCCAGTCCTAATTATTTTGCTTTTGTTCAGTCTTCTTTGGTTTTGTCTAGCTCGCTTGTCTAACTCTATTTAAATATAGAGTAAAAATTATGATATAGTCACTATAGAAAAAAGTGTTAACTTATTTATTAAAATTTTATAACATATATACAAATTGACACGTATCTGTTGGTTCAA